CATACATACATACATACATACATACATACATACATACATACATACATACATATATATATACATACATTAATGCATCATACAAAATACATACATACATACATTCATACATACATACATACATACATACATACATACATACATACATACGTACATACGTACGTACACACACACACGAGTACACACACACATATATATATATATATATATATATATATATATGTATATATGCGTGTGTGTGTGTCTGTCTCTGTGTCTGTGTCTGTGTGTACGTGTGTGTGTGCGTGTGCCTTTCCGTGTGCTCAGGTAAATAGATATAGATATGTGAATTGGCGTACAATGAGAATATGGTCGTACACCTAAAACTAATATGGAAACACGTGTTGTTAATAAGAGAATTTGAACACTATACTGCTTTCTGTGAAATTTCGAAACACAGTTCAATAAGAATACTCTGGTGGCAGGACCCACGTGGACGCGTACATTCGTTTGTGCGCCAACTTGACCTAACCAGCGATGGTTGGATGTGCCACAGAGCAAATAAGCAGCAAGCTCAGTTTACTCACCGGTTGATGCGAATCACTCGCAGGTGTCATCGAATCGTTTGAATCAGCCATTGTACTTAAAATATGAGAAAAATGACTACAAAAGTAGTCCACTGCGCACTATGTTTCGGTCAGATTGGGCATTTCGAGTCTCAGAGGACGTTCCCTGTTTGTGAGTGAAATCTACAATCGGATTATTTGACTTGTAACTCCAGCTTCAAGTGGGATATAAGTACGCTATTGTAAATTTTAAACAGATGTTCTACTGGTCCTATTGAGATGATATGGATGCTCATGCACTCTGGTGGCAAACCGTCCGTGTCGTTATTTTACATAAAACAGTACTTGTACATGATTGTAGGGACTATCTTGAAAATTGAACACGGGCTATGAAGTAGGATATTTCGTAGCCTACTGATTAAATATATTTTATTGCACATTTCTACGACTAAAATACATTACTATTACCCCCTAATAAACGGAAGTAACGCGAAATAATGAAAATATAAAGTTTAGCTGCGCGAAATAATAGTTTATTTATAAATAAAATTGTTGAACAAGAGCTGGGTTTTTTTTGTTTGGTTGTTTTTTTTTAAACAAAACAAAACAAATACCAAAAAACCCCAAAAAGAACAAAAACTTACATGAAATCAGGTTTCTTCCACGACTAATCGCAAATTTAGCAGACACCCAAATCCAGAGGGCCGTGAATCAGATCCACCTGAACAACGAACAAGAGGCTAACAAATATGACAAAAACCAATATTGATTAGTATTTTATATTCATAGCCTTCTATTCTTTTGGGTTTTGTTTTTAATAGAAGCAATTGATGACGTCACAGTATTTTTTTGGGTCCAACATTCATATATTAGGTATGAATTGTAGTCAGCGACCCGAATTTTTGATATTTTAAAAAAATTATACATTTTGATATATAGTCTTCTGTGGACAATTTTCAGAAGGCTATTTTGCACAGCAGTAAAACCCCGGTCGTTCATCCTATGTTTACTCTAAAAGTAAAATGTACTTTTTCGACATTGTTTCATTCACACAGGGGAGGATAAAAAAATTATACATAAACGATATAATTTTGACTGGGGAATGTGAAAACCGTCAAGTTTTTAGGTTTTCATTGGGATCGGGTATTGTAGCCAGTACTAATTTACATCGCTCTAAAAGTCCCGGATTGTGAAACGTCATTTTGGCAGAACATTTTCTATAAATGTCCGCATCAAAAATTTATCTTATTATTATTGATCTATTTATATAAGGTTGCGTAGATAGAGCCCAAAACTGCTCTCAAAATCGATTTTGGGTGTTTACATAGAAAAAAATTGTGACCCCCCCCGGGCCCCCCGTATGATCAGTATGTGGTCCCCGGGAAAGACTTGATTCTCACTGCTGTGCACCAATGCGCCATATGTTGTAAAAAAGAATACAAAAGCTGAGACGTTTACAACAGTGAATCCGGTTTTGCTTCTCTCGGAAGTATCAAAAATACAGCTCATTCAGAGTTCTGTCGCTGCTCAAAGTGGCAGACTTGCATGATGGTATAGCAACAGATAGAAGCTTTCTATGTTGATGCCTTCCGGTCTTTCCATTTTTGTTTGTCAGGCATTTTTTTAACTTTATATAGACTAAGCCGTCTTAATCGTAAAACCCTGCTCTCTGTTATACTCGTCCTTGTGATAAAAAGTGTATTCGACGCTAGGACGAAATAGCGCTGTCGAATTACACAGAGCCCTCCTAACGATCGCAAACATGTTATATTCCCGTAGGATATTAAGTTTTCGATATGCTTGTGCCATACCTGCGCAAAAAAAGGACGCTAATTGAAAATATATAATTTTTCAAGGATGTGTCGCCGGTACGTGAGAAGACGCAACGGATAGAAATGCGTACAATCCTGGGCTGATCAGTTGTTTCTATATTTGTTTATTTTGGTGTCTATACTTGGTTACTTACATACTGAGTCGTCTTGACCGCGAAGCACTGACTTCTCCAGCATCCTGTTGATGCAATTTGTGAGATCCTTCAGTTTTTGATCGAATAGTTGGATCCATACCACGTACAGATTCAACATTGGGTTCTATATCAGAAATATGCGTACCGACGCTACTCTGTCGACGTTTAGTCTTAGAAGATTTGTTTGTGGGGCTGTTACTGGCACTATCTGAAGCCAACCCGATTCGAAATATATCTTTGATCCCCTTTCCAGCCCAACTCATTCGTTTTTTTGCTTTGTTAGGATTGTCTGTTCCCGGTTTCCGTAAGCGAATCACAACACCAGGAGGAGGTTCTGTCAAAAGCTTTTGGGCCAACACGTTTCCAACTGTTTCCCTGTCGCTCGTCGCATCTTTTTCAATACTGTTGGGTGTCAACACTTTCTTTGCTGAGGTTTGGTGCGTTGTCTGCTTGCCCCGAATTGAACGATCGTATTCTCCAGACGAATATGTGTAGTGTACAACTTCGAGGTCACTAAAGGATATGTGTGGACCAGTTTTTTTGGATTTAGGCAAACCGAAAGCTGCTGGCGGACGGCGACCAAACGGTGTTGCTGGAGTGCCTTTGTATTCCTTTACATTTGCTGGCTTTTTCCACCCGTACAAGCTGCTTCTAGTCTGATTCTGGGGCATCGACCTCTGCAAGAGTTCGTTGTGTGTTTTCCTGTCGATGTGCTTAGGTCTCTCCCGGTTGCGTTTCGGGGGGGGTGAGTACGATTCATGCGCCTCAATACGTAGTGCTTGGGCGGTGAGTTCAACTTCAGCTTCTGCGTCACTAGAATCATCTTCAACACTACGACTCTTAGGAGATACGCGAGCAATGGAGCGTGTTTGTAAGACGGTCTTAGATTTTATACCAACCGGCGTACCGTGCACGTTTTGTGCAATAGCATCTTTCTGATGGACAATATGGCTGAGGCTTTCGTTTGTCGTTAATTGTGGTAAAGGCAAAGCCGAAGCTATTGATGTCATCTTCCTCGATTGCTGTGATTTAAAATTACTCTCGCTTGTAACAACGAAGTTGCCGTGTATGATGTATATTATTATGTACGCTACGAGCTGTAACCGTCACCGATGATGACGTTTTAATACCTACGATGCTAACAAATGTAGCTTTATTTATCAAGCTCTGTTATTTATATAGTTTGTTTCAGAATGAGCTACAGAAGTTCCGCGGTCAATTGGTTGACGTACAGATAGTCAGATACCCTTCTTGTGAATGAAAGCACTCTTCTCGCGAATCATTTAATGACGTGTTATGTACTTACCCGATCGCAGGACTCAAAATACTTATTTTGTCACGTTCCAGAAATTTTGTCACATTTTTTAACAACAACCGCTTGATCTACAGTCACCCAAAGTCAGAAGACGCAGTTTTTCAAGCTCGGTGAATTCACAATGGAGTTGTACCGCGGTATCAAACTATTGAAAATAGAGCTGTAAGGAACAACTCAAGGCGAAAATATGCGCACAAACAGCAGCTTTTATCGAGCACATTATAGATGTTGCCCTGGAATTTGAAAAATTTTCTGCATACCAGAGTACATCTCAGTCCTTGTTTCTTTTTTTCTTTTTTTTAAAACAAAAAACAATATACAAACAATTTTTATACAAGCTGTCTCCATTTGTTTTTTTAGAATCAAAACAAAACAATAAACTACTTCATCTGTTTTTAAAAACTACAAAAGTATTTATTACAAAGGACCCAAAGCCGAAAGGTCAAAGGCCGCCAAAGGGCCAAAACTCGAAAGGCATTTCCCAATTTCCATACGGATTGCACGGTTTAAAAAAACCCCCAATATCAAACATTTTATTTATTTATCAACGAATCAAATTATCAAAGGGTAGAGAAAATGAATTCAGGTGTTGTTATTTTTTATTTCTTTAAAACTAATTCAGGTGTTGTTATATTTTTTTTAAAACAACTCGTTGGTATGTACTATGTAGCTATGATATTTACTGTAGCGGCATGGCGGGCGTATTTAGCGGTCTCACGGCTCACGCTCTCACTTCTTAAGTCTCTACTACATACTATATAGTAGAGAAAGACTATTTTTTATTTAGAATCTCTCTCTCTCTACTCTCTCTAGAGAGAGAGAGTGAGCTACAAAAGAGAGTAGAGAGAGAGGGCCTGAGCCCTGAGGGCCCTGAGCCCCTGAGTCAGAGCTCAATACGTTACGCTATATATACATATACGGTCAACGTAAAGGTGAATATTTATAATAAGTAAACGATATAACGTTTTTGAAGGGCAAATATGGTGAATGAAATTTTGAAAATTGCACTTGCAAGATACACCTATTTCTAACGAAACGAGCTACATAGCTCAAATTAGCCAATGAGTTTTTAGCATCATTTTCACGTAAGCCAACCAGTCACGTTGGCGGTTATTTCTGGCGCTAAAATTTGAGGACATAAATTAATCATGGTAAGGCCTCTTGAATGCACCCAGTCATATTTGAGATGGACTATATAGATATAAACGTTGAACGTAAATCAAGAAAAACGTTTTTATAAACGTTATATCGAATAACGTTTTCAGCTTTGCCCTGAGTCCCGAGCCCTGAAAATTTTGAAAAAGTGAGACCTCGTTTTGTTTTCAATACATCAAACGTGATAATGAATACAAAGTGCTTTCCTATTTTTTTTAATATTGTTTATTTTTTAGGAGGCTATGCCCCAGAGAGTGCTATGGTCACGGTGCTTTTTTAAATATTCTATATTTTTCTTCTATGTATGCATTTTTGTGTTTACTATGTACATATTCACTTCTTGTCAATTGCGCTCTTATTTTTTGTTTTGTTTTGTTTTTTTAAAACTCCAAAACATCAGACTCTGACAGTCTGACAGTCTGACACTGTTCAAAGTTCAGACTTCAGTCTCACTTTTAGACTATAATTTTTTTTTTAAAAGATGTAGAAACCACTGTCAAACCAGAGTTCAAGGGTAATTGTTTCTTTCAAATTAATATAATATATATTCTTCTGAAAGTCGGTTCTCGTATTTATTTCATAACAATCAAAAGTGAAGAAGCTCTGAAAATTTTTAATTTTTTTATCCTGATTTTTTTATCACTATACCAAAACAAATAGGCTCGAAATGGCGATTTTGTCTTCAAATCGCCCTTTTGGGCTTTTATGGGGTATATTGATAAAATGCATTTTCAAAACAAAAACAGGAAGGCCGGGTTTTTTTTGTCTTAAATTCCTATAAAAAAATACCTATGTATATACTAGATATGCATTATGTACTCTACTTTCATTCAGTACATACAGTAAATACAAAAGTCATTATGTGTGTATTTATTTACTAAATAAATAAATACTGTATCAATAATATGTATGTAATAAATAGCTACATAGAATGATTTTTTTATATCGTAAATCTATTCTACGCGGTTGAAAAAAAAGTTTTATTTATATTTTATTTTCTAAAAAAGGACATTGAAAATGAAAAAATACTCGTATATACATATATAAATACTTGTTCTATTTTGTTTTTTTTTAAACAATAATATCATTGCCTTCAGAAAATTGATCAAGAAGGTACATGTTGGAATCAGATGGAAATACTTTTTGTTTTTTTTGTTTTTAAAAACAACCCCCCCACCCCCCCCCTAAAAAATAAAATAAAAATTACGTTGCGGCTGCCTTCGAAACACTAAACAGCTTTGCCTCGTTTTTGAGTGTGGATTGTGAGTCTCTTTTGGATCGGATTTACCCATTGCTGCCCTATTTATTTAGGCTATATATCCAAAATTTGAAGAATAATATATCCTAAATTTTAAGGGACTATGGAATCGGATCAAATGACAATTAGGAATTAGAAATCCTACGATTCGTAGGATTTTCCAGCGGTACGCCGGCTAACCTCATAACGTTTAGCCTCATGTATATAAACGTTTACTTTTCAACGTTTAACGGGATTTTTTTGCGTTGCAACGTATTTTAGTATATATTTGACCTGGATTTTGTTGTATATTCTGACCTGAACAGTGCACCTATTCTGAAACATTTGGTCTCGATATATGGTAATTAACCAATGAAATGCAGTCAATAACTCCTGATTTGATACTAATACATCAGTCACTGACACACTTGTCAGTTGTCAATTAACACTATTTTGAATACAAGAAGTCGGTTGACGCCGACCATGCTATGCTATAGACTATAGTATAACAGAAACTACTAGGCCAATAAAGCCCTTTTAAAAGCTTACTACACTGTGGTGATTAGCATATTAAAACTGTAGGCTATTCCACTCTTGAGTTTAGTCATACTAAATTCCACAGTGCAATGAATACACTGTATCACCTCCTTGGTGCCCACCTTCCAAGAGCTGAAGTGATTAGACCTCACTGGATCCTTAGCGCGTCCCATGACAAATTTACTGAATGTTATTGTACTGAAACCGTATGCCAACGAGGCGGGTAAACAACCATTTTTTATACCCTTATCTTGAATTCGTTTTATATACAAGGTCAGCAGCTACATCACCACACAGGACATCATTGACCACACTCACAAGACACTGATCGAACTCGAAAGGTAAACACATAAGTTTTGAAGGCGCTTTATTTAATTTCTAAGTTATTGATTTGGATCGACCGACTGAATGCAAATATTACTTTAAAAAGAACGTGGCGGCCTGGCGCTGGATATAAGCGTTTAAAATTCAACGTTTAGCGGATCTTTTTTTACGTTGCAACGAATAACGATATCAGTCTGTACTCAGTAGTGATATAACATTTTCATTTGTTTTTTTTTTAAAGAGAGAGGGCAAATTATAAAGTTGTCCTGGATTTCTTCTATTTTTCCATAAATATCACTACATATCAAAAAATAAATAAAATGCTTTTTGCCTGTGTGCGAACTGTCAACTTTTAAAAGTCTGACGTCGTCTGACACATAGTGAGAGTCAGGCATGCTTTTTTATCCTTTTATGTTTTCAAAAAATAATATATATTCTTTGCATTCTACTCCAGTTGTGCTGTTTTCTTGATGAGATATTGGTTGAAGTTGCTTTTTTGTTTTTTTTAAAACAATATATAGTCACTTCTTTAAAAATAACCTTCTTGTCCCTCGTAAAATAAATACTCTCTCAGAGAGTATCTATTTACTCTCTGATTGTCATATATTTACATACATATGTCCTACGGACTTGTCCGTTCTCCCTTAAATTTTACTCTTCTAGAGGGTCAAGTACATATTTGCTTTTCACATGTAAATATGTAAATGTATTGTCGAACTGGTAACAAAACAAACAAACAAACAAAATATGATAGTCGTGTAGAAACGAAATTGTATTGGTTTTTGGGTTTTTTTAAAACCCCCAAAATATAAAATATGTATGTATGTACATTGTACCACATATTTTTTTTTGTTTTTAAAAACAAATATACAAAACACAGTTGCACATTTTGTATTTAGTTTTGTCTGTTTTGTTTTACAGAGTGTATAATAGTAAAAGGTTTAGCACGAAAAAACTAATTTACAAATAATATAAAGTCGAACTCTCAAAATCGGGTTTCGGAGTGGTTTAGGAAGCTAAAACTGCATTAAATTTTTTCAGCCAAGTCTGAAGTGGCCATTATGCTGACCTTGGGCGGTCATTTCTGCAGTTGGGAGCGGCCAATATATTCTTGGCCTTACACCCACACATGGTATAGTAGTGACATGTTTCCGTCTCTTAGAACCAATGCGACATGCTATTTTTTCAAATACGGTTGCATGTGTATACATCACACTTGTTGAACAAACAACTACTGTCTTCATCTGCAATTCTGCATCAGGCTTATATCCCTCTGTATGATGTGTGATAGATCGAAACTTATTTTCAGCTCCACGTAGAGAGGGTCTCTTGTCTTTCCCATCACTCAGATGCTTGGCCGCCTTTGGTGGCATCGTGTATTGTAACGCGTATGACTGTCAACGTATGTATGACTGTGATACTACTAAAGCGATCAGTGCCAG